ATTCACAAATGATTTAATTCCTCTGTTGGTTATGGCCCTTTGAGCAGCCTAAAAGTGCTAAAAGTCAATAACCTCAGCTGTGCTTTCCCAGGGAAAATCCTGAACATCCACCCGTCCCTGCTGCCGTCCTTCAAGGGAGCGCACGCGCACAAGCTGGTGCTGCAGGCCGGGGTCAGGGTCACGGGCTGCACCGTGCACTTCGTGGCTGTGAGTACCCCCTGCCCCTCCTGCCCCCCTGCAATCCTCCTCTTTGAACACCTGCACCTCCCTGCCCCCCTGCAATCCTCCCATTTGAACACCTGCACCTCCCTGCCCCCCTGCAATCCTCCCCTTTGAACATCTGCACCTCCCTGCCCCCCTGCAATCCTCCCCTTTGAACACCTGCACCTCCCTGCCCCTCTGCACTCCTCCTGTTTGAACATCTGCACCTTCCTGGTTTTCTGAAATCCTTCCCTTTGAACATCTGCACCTCCCTGCCCCTCTGCACTCCTCCCCTTCGAACATCTGCACCTCCCTGCCCCTCTGCACTCCTCCTGTTTGAACATCTGCACCTTCCTGGTTTTCTGAAATCCTTCCCTTTGAACATCTGCACCTCCCTGCCCCTCTGCAATCCTCCCCTTCGAACACCTGCCCCTCCTGCCCCTCTGCAATCCTCCCCTTTGAACATCTGCACCTCCCTGCCCCTCTACAATCCTCCCCTTTGAACATCTGCACCTCCCTGCCCCTCTACAATCCTCCCCTTTGAACATCTGCACCTCCCTGCCCCTCTACAATCCTCCCCTTTGAACATCTGCACCTCCCTGCCCCTCTACAATCCTCCCCTTTGAACATCTGCACCTCCCTGCCCCTCTACAATCCTCCCCTTTGAACATCTGCACCTCCCTGCCCCTCTACAATCCTCCCCTTTGAACATCTGCACCTCCCTGCCCCTCTACAATCCTCCCCTTTGAACATCTGCACCTCCCTGCCCCTCTACAATCCTCCCCTTTGAACATCTGCACCTCCCTGCCCCTCTACAATCCTCCCCTTTGAACATCTGCACCTCCCTGCCCCTCTACAATCCTCCCCTTTGAACATCTGCACCTCCCTGCCCCTCTACAATCCTCCCCTTTGAACATCTGCACCTCCCTGCCCCTCTACAATCCTCCCCTTTGAACATCTGCACCTCCCTGCCCCTCTACAATCCTCCCCTTTGAACATCTGCACCTCCCTGCCCCTCTACAATCCTCCCCTTTGAACATCTGCACCTCCCTGCCCCTCTACAATCCTCCCCTTTGAACATCTGCACCTCCCTGCCCCTCTACAATCCTCCCCTTTGAACATCTGCACCTCCCTGCCCCTCTACAATCCTCCCCTTTGAACATCTGCACCTCCCTGCCCCTCTACAATCCTCCCCTTTGAACATCTGCACCTCCCTGCCCCTCTACAATCCTCCCCTTTGAACATCTGCACCTCCCTGCCCCTCTACAATCCTCCCCTTTGAACATCTGCACCTCCCTGCCCCTCTGCAATCCTCCCCTTTGAACATTCTCAACTCAGAGCCTGCTGGGAGCACCCTACACCCTTGTGTTCAGAACTTTGTATGTAGAGAAGGTGGGGATTTTATCGTGGCCACACAGTGCTGTAGTTTGCTGGCTCTGGAGAAGGAATGGAAATGGATAATTTGTCCAGGAGTTTAAGCTTTCCCTAAGGGAGCTTCTTCCCTAAGCATCCCACTGCTGCCTTCCACTCACTGGAGTGGGGGAATAGTTAATGTAAGGCCTTGGCTAAGCCAAAAGCTTTGTTAAACGTGGCCCAAACTTCCTGGGTTTTGTCCTAAACCCGCCTTGTTTCTTGCTTTCAAGAAAAAGAAGAAATAGAAACAAACAAACAAAAACCCCACTGGAAATGGCACAGGACTTGTTAAGGAGTGATCAGATGTTTGTGAGAACAGAGCAAAACTTGACAATTTATGCTGGTCAGACCCTAAGTAAAGAAAGAGCAGAGATCTCTCAGCTTCAGAGCCACCTTTTTTCAGGCCAAGGATTATTGGTTCCCTTTTGGTCACTTCTCAGGGTTCAGAAGTCTCTCCTTTAGCTCCCCTCTCCCTCTGCTGCTGGAATCTGTCTCAGGATTTTTGCTTTCCCTTGGAAAAAGAGGGTGGAATAATTTTTTTCCAGTAGAAGGGAAAACTGCGTTCTTCTCTATGCCATGGCTTGGGGTTTCTGTGTGGCAGCTGCTGAGGAAGAAACCCATTGTGGGATCTGCCCCACAATGTTCCAGGGAAGATCTGCTTGATCCCTATCCCAGCTCCATGCAGCCCTTGGCTCATTCCCCCTCTGGACTGAATGTCCTGCCCAGCCCAGCCCCTCCTGTCCCTGGCTAATGGGCTTTTCTAGAAGAGAATTGTTGCTCCCTGCTGTTCTGCCTCCCTCCCTCTCTCCTCTGAACCCTTCCCATACCACAGTCAGCCTCACCACCTGCTCTCCCCATCCCAAATCCCAGTTCCCCGAGGCACTGGGGCATCCCGAGCCTTCCCTCCTGCTCCAGCCTTGACCTTGCCGTTGCCATTGCAGGAGGAGGTGGATGCCGGGGCCATCATCTTCCAGGAGGCCGTGCCGGTGAAGCTGGGGGACACGGAGGCCACGCTGGCCGAGCGGGTGAAGGAGGCCGAGCACCGCGCCTTCCCCGCCGCGCTGCAGCTCGTGGCCAGCGGCGCCGTGCGCGTGGGCGAGGCGGGCAAGATCTACTGGAAATAGAGCTGGGCTCCGGCAGGGCCTGCCGCGGGCTCTGCCCCTCACCTGCCTCGCACGGCTCAAGGTTCAAATCCCAGGAAAGCCACCCATGGGAATTTCGGGGTCGTTCCCAGAGGGTGCAGCAATGGCTCCTGTAAGTGCTTCCGAATTTTAATCGCTTCCTTGGCCAACGTTTTGGTTCTCTCAGTCGCTTTCCTGACAAGCCCAATGCAGCCAGGTGGATCTGAGCAGCCCTGGGTGGACTGGAGACAACACTGGAGACCCTTTCGTACAAAATCACAATCAGTCTGGCAGCTGGGAAGTGAACAAGCCTTTTTCACATGGCCTGTCTCCAGCAGAGAGATCCCTCTCCTGTCTCCAGCAGAGGGATTAAGTTCCACTTTTTCCAGGTGGGGAATATGTGGAAGTGCTGGTGAATATCCAGCTGTTTGCCAGCCATCAGGGCTGCTCCCTAACAGGGACCCTCCTTGTGCTGGGAAGTGTTGCTGAGGGAAACTGCAATGGAAGAGACAGACAAAAGCAGAAAGCTCCACTCTAGAAACCTCATCAAACCAGGAAAAACTGGCCTCCCCAAACACCAAAATTATTGGATTTTTCTCCGTTTGCTTCCTGGTTTGATAGTGGTGGATCTCATCTGGCCCAGACCCCTGACACACCCTGTCGTTTCCAAACCTGAACCTGCTGTCCATCAGATGCCAGCAGGATTCAGTATCTGCTGCCCCTTTTTCCCACAGAATTCCCATGTGAATTCCCACAAATTCCCCTCAGATTCAGGGTTTTATTTTTTTACATGAGTAGAAAGACCAGACACAAACATGTCCTTGGCTTGTGAAACATTCCTCAGGAATTCTGAAGTGCCTTTATTCTTGAACCAGTGTTTTCACCTGGAATAACACTGAGGGACACCCAGGAATTATGAACATTTGGAAACAATTGGGGTTTTTGTGCAGCTCAACACTTGTGGTTTTCTTTTAATATTTTCATATAGTTATGAAACCATTTTAATATTCTTACTGACAGGATCAGGTTTCCCACACACAGAGCAGATGGGGTGGTTTGGAGCTCCCCCTGAACACAGAGAAAGCTGATTTTATTCTGGGTTCTGATGTCCTGACGGTACTCCCATGTTGGCATATTCTCCTTTGGGATTTGAAATAAAGCCTAATAAATTTAAAAAAAAATGCTATCTACAAATATTTCCTTGGAATTGATTTCCCGGGGCTGTAGGGGGGAGGAGGGAAGGGGCTGTACATGGTGTGGGGGCCCTGGGTCAGTGGGGAGGTCACAGCCAGGGAAGGCAGAGGAAATAAAGACTTGGAGGGGTGAAATCACTGCCCGTGCAGGGAATCAATATCACATTATTGATCAGAGCAGCTGGATCACTGCCAGAGAGGCCAACAGAGAGAGCTGTCCCAAATCCAACACCCGTTTCCATCACAGGCACCTTCATCCAGATTCTGATATTCTGCCATGTGAGCCTGATGTGAAATGGGATTTCACAGTCATACAAGGTTTGGGTTGGAGGGACCTCACAGCCCACCCAGTGCCACCCTGCCATGGCAGGGACACCTTCCCCTGTGCCAGGCTTCCATGACTTTGTTGTCCCAGTCCTGCAGCTGCAGGTCCTGTTTGGGGTTACTCTGGGATGCTTCCAATACTCTGCCACAGAAATGGATCCCTTGGAAGGATGAATTCCCCTTGGAAACACCAGATCAGTTTTACAGCTCCAGCCCTGTCCATGTAACACGTTTTCTGCTTTACAGGTTTAAAAACAGAACGAAGGAATTCCAAACCTGAAAAGCCAGCCTGGCTCCCACCATGGTTTTTCCAAGGGGGTGTAACCAAAGATGTGATCTCAGGAAAAAGACTGAGAAGAGAAACTTGAGATACTGAGACATCCAAGTGAACCACATGGAGGAGAAGGGAAGAGGAGGGGGAAAACAAGCAGAGCCAGACCCCCTCAGGGACTGGCCCAGAGCCCCTTGGGGACCCACCCAGAGCCCCTCGGGGCCTGCCCAGTGTCCCTCAAGGATCTGCCCAGAGCCCCTCAGGGAGCGGCCCAGAGCCCCAGGGACCGGCCCAGAGCCCCTCAAGGATCTGCCCAGAGCCCCTCAAGGATCTGCCCAGAGCCCCTCAGGGACCGGCCCAGAGCCCCTCAGGGACCGGCCCAGAGCCCCTCAAGGACTGGCCCAGAGCCCCTCAAGGACCCACCCACAGCCCCTCAGGGACCAGCCCAGAGCCCCTCAAGGATCTGCCCAGAGCCCCTCAGGGAGCGGCCCAGAGGCCCTCGCGTTCCGGGGGCTCCTCGGCAGAGGCCGGTCCTGCTCCCTGCTCCTCGTCCGGGCTCAGCCTCCGGCTCTCCCGCCTCCAGCACGTTCTTCCGTGGGCTCCCAGCCAGGCGGCCCCGCTGGCCACGAGCTGCAGGGCCAGGGGGAAGGCCCTGAGCTCGGCCTGCTGCAGCCGCTCGCCCAGCGCCGCCTCCGTGTCCCCCGGCCCCGCGCCCTCGCATTCCGGGGGCTCCTCGGGAGAGGCCGCTCCTGCTCCCTGCTCCTCGTCCGGGCTCAGCCTCCGGCTCTCCCGCCTCCAGCACGTTCTTCCGTGGGCTCCCAGCCAGGCGGCCCCGCTGGCCACGAGCTGCAGGGCCAGGGGGAAGGCCCTGAGCTCGGCCTGCTGCAGCCGCTCGCCCAGCGCCGCCTCCGTGTCCCCCGGCCCCGCGGGCAGCGGCTCCCGGCGGATCGCGGCGCCGGCGCCCGGCTCCTCCTGCGGGCACAGAGCGAGGGAGGGCCGGGCAGCGCTGGGGAAGGGGCTGGGGTGTGGGTGTGCGCGAAGAAAGGATGTCTTCTCCTCCGGGGAGGAGGAGAAATGGGAAAATCCCACGCCAAAATGCAAGGGAAGAAGACAGGGCTTCAAGCAACCCCAACTCTTCCCGATTTTTACTGGTACCAATCCCAAGGTTCCCACCCCTTCCCACACCTCTTACCTCTGCCTGTTTCTGCCCCCAGAAAGATAAGGAAAAAAACACATTTCTAACTTCCAAATTTTTCTAATTTCCCAGTTTTGAGGTCACTCACCAGGACAAAATGCACAGTGCAGCCTGTGATATTGAACCCACTTTCCAGGGGCTCTTGCTGGGCATTCCCATCCTTGATGAGTGGAAAAAGTGATGGAGAAGCATTCAAAATTTTCCCTGGGCATCAGTGTGAGAGGAGGAAAAAAAAAAAAAAAAGATAATTTGAACTGAATTTCCTTAAAAATAAAATGAGATGTGATCATCAGTCCAAACCCTGAGCAGCACTGCTGTGCTCGGAGGGAATTCCTGCTCTGCTCTGAGGGAATTCTGCTCTTCCAGGAGCAGGGGTGCAGCAACATTCCCAAAGGAGCCTGTCCAGGCTGTCAGTGAGTGAGTGACTCCTGAGCAAGGCGACAGGAGCTGGCACTAACTCGCTGCTCACCCTTCATTAACTCACTTGGGGCACACATCGAGCTGTGTCAGGGTGTGCAGGGCACCACAGGAGGGAGAAATCCCTCCTGGGAATGGATAAATCCATCTTTCTCCCATTTTTCTCTGAGTGGGAACTGCAGGACTCCCCAGCACAGCTCCCTGGCAAAGGATGGGATCAAGCTCCTTCCCTAGGGAAGGCACAGAGCCACCCCACAGCCCCAGTTTGCCCCTCTCTCACTGCTGAGGCAGGACAAGGGGTTCCTCTGGCAATCCGCAGCCAGAATCCCAGCACAGCCCCACTGCCAGGGGGAATGGAAGCAGAATCCCATATCCAGAATTCCCACAGTCCCACTGCCAGGGGGAATGGAAGCAGAATCCCAATACAGCCCCACTGCCAGAGGGAATGGAAGCAGAATCCCATATCCAGAATTCCCACAGTCCCACTGCCAGAGGGAAGCACAGGGTTTCCTTCCTGGAATGTCAGCAGCGTCAGCAGGGCTGAGGGATTTAATCAAAGGACAAGGAACTCTGACAGTGGAATCCTGGTGAGACCAACCACCCTTGCTTTAGTTTCTCTTTTAATTTGATTTGTTACCTTTCCATTTTCGGAGAAAAGGGCTGGACAAAACTCTCATGAACCCTGACAGACAGATCAGCTCCACAGAGAATTCCTCCAGGACTCGGTCAATGGTGCTGTCGAATTCCGAGCGGCTCCCGTACAGTTTGTGATCAATCACCTGGAGCAGTGAGACACAACAAAAGGTGGGATTGGGAGCAGCTGCTCGGGCAACAAAGAGGAACAAACCAGATTCATTCCAGGACACTCCATGATTTGAAAGGAGGGTGCAGTGAGGTGGGGTCGGTCTTTTCTGCTGTGTCCCAAGTGAAAGGGTGAGAGGAAATGGCCCTGAATTGCACCAGGGGAGGTTCAGATTGGAGATTAGAAACATTTTTTCCCTTTTACGAGTGGTCAGCCACTGGAATGAGTTGCCCAGGGAGGTGGTGGAGTCAATTGGCCAGACTCTCTGGGTAAGGGAAAGAGGAGATCCTTTATTTCTACCCCACCTCCCATTTTCAGCCCGCCAGGTGAGTGCTGATTCCTGACTCTCCTGAGGACCTTCAAACAAGGGGCTCACAAAACTTTGTGCTCTTGCCTGTGAAAATGTGAGTGAATTTTGGTATCACTTTTTTTTAGACATGAGTCAGAAAAATATTACGTGAATCCAACTCAGGAGCTGAAGAAACTGTTCCAGAACCCTTTCCATGCAGGGACAGCCTCTAGCAGAGTTTATTTCCATCTGTGCACAGCTGTAAAAACACCTGTTCAAACCCACTTGATGTCAGAAGGGACAGTTCCTGCCTTTGACATCCCAAGTAATGGAATGTTCTCAGACAATGCTGCTGGTCCTTACCAGGGGTTTTTATGGAACAAGCCAGAACAAATTCCTGTCTCAAAGAGCTGCTTTGTGGCCCAAAGGCAGGAGAAAACTTGTATGGGACCCGGCATAGTGTGAGACACAGGTTTTCATCCTGGGGAGGAGAAAGCTCCAGGGAGAGCTGCAGAGGGACTGGGGACAAGGGCTGCAGGGACAGGAGCCAGGGAATGGCTGCCAGTGCCAGAGGGCAGGGCTGGATGGGATCTGGGCAATGAGGAATTGTTCCCTGGCAGGGTGGGCAGGGGCTGGGATGGAATTCCCAGAGCAGCTGGGGCTGCCCCTGGATCCCTGGCAGTGCCCAAGGCCAGGCTGGACACTGGGGCTGGAGCAGCCTGGCACAGGGGAAGGTGTCCCTGCCATGGCAGGGGTGGGATTTAAGGTTCCTCCAGGCCAACTCAGTCTGGGATTCTGTGATTCTAAGGGGGGATAAACCCAGGAGACAACACATTTCTGTGCTTTGCAGAGCCTGAAGTTTGACTGATTTCAGCCAAAGCTTGAGGCTCGTGGGCTGCAATCTCAGACCCAAACCATCCATTGAAATCCCTTCCCTGGGATGCAGCACTCACTACCGAGCTGGGAAAAGCTCCCAGAGCCCAGTGAGGACTCCCACCTCTGTGCTCCATCCACAGGGAAAGTTTCACACTGAAGTGAAACCTCAATGCTCAGCAAGCACTTCCTGGCCAGCCACGGGCTCAGCAGCTGGGAATAGAAAGGAGAAAGGGATGTGTCCTTACTGTTACAGATGGATAATGAGATGATTAGCTCTTGCAATTAAGGGATGAATACTGTGTGTGTATGAAGAGAAGCTTTAGTGATGTATAGCTATGTTATTGCAGTTTAGATGCCCTCTGTTCTCCCCATAGTTCCCTTTCCCCCCTCTGTATTGTTCCCACCAGACAGCCGGGGTTGCCTAGGACAGGTAGAAAGAAACCATGTGCATAAACCCCTTGCATGGGACAGTTGGAATGGAAAAGCTTGGTGCTGGGGGGGCATGACAACACCTGACCCTCCAATCAAGTTGCAAGGAATTAGTGTCCACCAAAAAAACCGCAAAGGAGAGCTGACTGACAGACTTTGGGAGGGACCAGGCTTGGCTGATACAACCCCCAGGGTTGTAAAAGGCAAAGCATCAGTCTTGAAGATGAGCCAGCCACGTGGTAGTCAGCCACAAGGACAGCTCCTAGTGCTGCAGTTTGTCCTTATTTAGTCCTTTAGCTGTAATTCCTGTCAAGGTTTAGTAAAGCTGTTAACATTTTCAAGGCGAGCGGCGGTGTCTGGCGCTTACCCTGGTGGGGATCCCGGCGCGGGCGGCGCTGCGCAGCTCCTGCACGCCGGGTCTGTTGGAGATGACCAGCACCAGCTGGGCACAGCTGCCCGGCTCCCGGGCCGAGCCGATGAGCGCAGGCAGGGCCGTGCCTCCAGGGGGAGAGAGCAGAGAGGGGGAAACCTCAGCACCCTCCGTGGGCAATCCTCTGAACTCTTCCCCCCAGGGAAATACCCACAGCCCTGCCTTGGAGAGACTTACCAAAGAGTTTCCCCCACCTGGGAAGGACTTCCTCATGGAGTCTTGTTTAACAATGAACCACTCCTGTTCCCTTCCCCATATGTCCCAAATTCTCGTGGTTCCTCCTTTCCCTGTTCCCTCATTGGTTGTGGTATCCCTAGTGGCCAGGTCTTCCCTGTAGGGCAATGCCCTTTGTCCTGCCCCTTGTGCCATCCCTGTGCCCTCAGACCATTGACCCCATACTTAACCTTGTGCACCCCACATGGCTTTGTCTTTTGTCCCTGGTTTCCCTTTGGTGTGCTAAAATAAACCTCGCTGGAACTGACCCTACGAAAGGCCCTTCTGCCTTTCTAGCCTGAGCTGGCCATGGTGGGTGTGGTGTGTGGGTGTTATAGATACATAATATTGGCTTTTCACAAATATTCAAGTGGATTTTATATGTGTGGCGTTAAAGTAACTTCGTTATAAAGATATGGGTTTTATTTCTGGTGTTAATTAAGCCTAGTGCAATAGCTGATGTAAGTATGTTTGTGTTAAAATGCCTGCTTGGATGGGATAACACCCAGTGAACACAGGATGAGGACATCTGTACAGATCTGCCAACTCTCAGCACTCACCCTCTGAAGGCAGTGTGGGCCAGGGCCCAAAAACTGGAAGTGATGATAAAAAAGGACTAAAACCACACCCAAGGAATACACATCCTCTAAAAAGGTAGACCCAAGAAAAGCTAAACAGTTCTTGGAACATGTAATGTAATTTGGGGAAAAGTTTACTGTGCATAAGGGTCTATGAACATGCAAAGGGCTGATGTAATGAAAAGGTATTTAAGGGGTATCCCCAAAGATAATGGGGTGCTCTTGGCTGAGTAATAACCTTTGCTCTGTGGTCCTTGTCTCCTGTTGTCCTTTATGAAACTTTTTACATTTTCACAGGACAGTGAGCATGTTTTTCACAGTGGACTTGACTGCCTTGCCTGAATGCCTCCCCAAGCATCTTTTCCACAGGAGATGCTTACTGGGGGATTATAGGTATAGCAGCACCCACCATGTAAACCCCCCTCTGCTACACCACAGCCCTGGGAGGGGCTCTCAGCTGCTGCTCAGACAAAGACCTGCTTGTCCACAAACAGCACTGAGGGTGGGGGCACTGATAAAGCTCAGTTTTTAAGCAGTGCAACACAACTCTTTGACTTAAAATGAAGCCCTGGACTTTGAGGGGTCTGGAGATTCCACTGGAAGAAAAGCCAGGTGGACACACCTGAACCAGCCTCTCCTGTGTGAGGACATTCTGTGTGCCAGGACAAGTGACAGCTCACCTGCTCCAGAGACAAGAACAGCCACCTTCACCTTTCTCTTCCTGGGCTGGGGCTGGATCTCAGCAGTGCTGGCATCCAGCAGCTGCTGGGGGCTGCTCAGCTGCAGGGCCTCTGCAAGATTCTCCACTACAATGTGAGAACCTGCTCCAAACACACAGGGAAAGTGTTAGATTTTACCTTTCCTTCTAATCTGGATTTCTGTAGTTTATTAATAATGTTTCAACAACAAGAAATTGCATCAGCAATGAATTTATGCTGGCACAGATAGAGCTCCAGAGGGGTTCAGTGTTTGAAGAGCCCAGATCCCAGGAGCTGTGCTGGCCTCTGCTGTTACCTGCTCACAGAGTTGTTCACAAAGGCCCAGGCATGGCCTTTTCAAGGATTATTCCCATCTTTTATACCTCCCATGTTGCAAAAGGACACTAAAACTGATGCTGACAGAGCTGAGGTGACATTTTGGCTGCCCAAACTGTTGTGTTTCCAGAGGGATTTTGGTTCAGGTCCTGCTGGATGTCAATCAGTGCCACACCAGGATTCAGACTGAGCATCACCACAGGTGACTGTACAAAGCTGTGGCCTGTCCTCAGCCTTTGCACAGGTCTGTATGAGCTGGGAAGGGCTGGACAGGAGGGGAATTATCACCATAAGCGTGGTAAAATATCCCCTGATTTTCGGAATAATCAGCACAGGGATTCCCTGAAGCCTCAGGGAGAGGAAGAGGTTATCCAGGTGCTGCAACTCTGAAACAATAATTCATTTCTCATTTATTTAATACTGAAATATAGATGTGGAAGTGTCCAGCAGCCTCCAGCCTAGTGAAACAACAGGAAAGTGGTGTGAACTACACAGACTTTGCAACAGGGAGTCTCTTCAGTCCCACGAGGACACCTGCTCACCTGTGTCACAAGGGGCAACCACCTTCCCAATCAGCCAGGCCTCCTGCTGCCTCTGGATGTCCTGGAGAACGTGCTGGGCCAGCTCCTTCTGCACGACCAAGACGGCCCCGATCCCACAGGGAAGGGTCTGAGCCATCTCCTCTGCAGAGAGGTTCCCCTCCTTGTAGAGCCAGCCAAAGATTTCAGGGATCTTCCAGCTGAGAGCATCTGGGAAAGATTGAAATTGGTGTGTGGGCAGCACAAATGTTTGTCATTATTTATTATTTACTGTCTGCAATGACAGTGATGTGTCACAAGAGCTGGTAGAGAGCAATTCTTGTTGTCACAGAATCCCAAAATCCCCGGGGCTGGCACAGCCCTCCCAGCCCAGGCAGAACCCAACACACAGACACCTTTCTTTCCCCTTCCCCTTCCCCAGTGTATTTTTAGACTCACATGAACATGGTTTTCTTTATATTTCAAACTTCTGAATTCTTTGCCCAATTTTGGCTTCATCAGAAAAAGTTCTACCTTACTCACAGATGTCAGGTGATGTGGGGAAGCTACCAAAAAGTGCATTAAATGTGTGTGTGTGTGAAGCAAATAATGCAAATTTATCACCCTACCAAACCTCAGTATTTGGTCAAAATGTTTTGTTTGGAGAGGTGTCCTGAGGAACACACAATCTTCTCCAACACCTTTTGTCCTAGACATGTTCTGCCCTTAATCTCCTCTGGAATTTCCTTCTCCAACAAGCAGTGGGGCTCATGACTTGGAACAGGAGTGGTTTTGGCGTCCCCTTGGGAAGCAGCCACGTGGGGCCGTCCCCCTGTGCAGGGACATTTCTGAGGATTCCACAGCTGAATGTGGAAGGTCAAGGCCGTGCTGGGCCTGAGTTCTGTCCCAGTTCTGTCCCAGAAGCCCCTCAGGTACTCACCCAGGACGGCGCTGACGTGCTCGGGCAGGAGCCTGGAGATGCCCCCCAGGAGCCCCTCGGCCGTGGGGGCAAAGCCCTTCACGTGGCCTGAGCGAAGGACGGGCAGCAGAGCTGGGCTGAACATCTTCCCTGGGGTCAGCAAAACATCTCCTGCAAACAACAGCCTCAGCTCAGCTGTGTTTCAAACCTCAGGAGAGGTTTAGAATCAAAAATCACAGAATTATTTGGATTGGGAGGGACCTTAAAGCTCATCCAGTGCCACCCCTGCCCTGGCAGGGACACCTTCCCTGTGCCAGGCTGCTCCAGCCCCAGTGTCCAGCCTGGCCTTGGGCACTGCCAGGGATCCAGGGGCAGCCCCAGCTGCTCTGGGAATTCCATCCCAGCCCCTGCCCACCCTGCCAGGGAACAATTCCTCATTGCCCAGATCCCATCCAGCCCTGCCCTCTGGCACTGGCAGCCATTCCCTGGCTCCTGTCCCTCCATCCCTTGTCCCCAGTCCCTCTGCAGCTCTCCTGGAGCCCCTTCAGGCCCTGCCAGGGGCTCTGAGCTCTCCCAGAGCCTTCCATTCTCCAGGCTGAATCCGATGGATTTGTTTCAAAGGTGTTTTTGGTGTTCAAAGGTGTTTCAAAGGGTGTTTTTGGGAGTGTTTCCCTGGACAGGCTCTCTCCCAGTCCTTGCAGAAGCCCTGGGAAGGAGGCAGAAGTGCTGCCCACTCTTGCAGAGCAGCGGGCAGCAGCCCGAGCCCAAAGCCTGACAAACGCAGCCCGACGGGAGCAGGGGAAGAAGGAGAGCCCACCCAGAGTGGTGTCCCCGCAGCTGCCCGGGGCTGGCGAGGAGCAGCGCAGCGAGGCTGTCAGGAGGATCCTCCGCACGACGCCGAAGCCGCGGCCGTGGATGCCGGGGGAGCCCAGCCCCAGGAGCGCGTCCCCCTCCTCGGCTCTCTGCAGCCCCGGCAGCCGCTGGCCCCGCTCCACCGCGCCCACCGCGAACCCCGCCAGGTCACAGTGCCCCGGGGGACACGGAGCTGCCGCTTCTGTCACCTCCTCACCTGCAAGGGGAGACAGAGGTCAGCACCTCCTGCTTGTGGTCGTTTTAGAGTCACAGAATTCCCAGACTGGTTTGGGTTGGGAGGGACCTTAAGTCCCATCCCATCCCACCCCTGCCATGGCAGGGACACCTTCCCCTGTGCCAGGCTGCTCCAGCCCCAGTGTCCAGCCTGGCCTTGGGCACTGCCAGGGATCCAGGGGCAGCCCCAGCTGCTCTGGAAAATTCCATCCCAGCCCCTGCCCACCCTGCCAGGGAACAATTCCTGCCCAATATCCCACCTAACCTTGCCCCCCCTCAGCTCAAAGCCATTATTGTAACACCATTTTAAATTTATGGCATCTCCTAAAGTCAGCATCACATCCAGAGACACACAGCCGAAGAAGATTCAGATATATTTTTAAAATCCTTCTGGATTTGTTACTTCACCTCAAGACTCCATCAAAACAAAGCTTCAGGAAAGAAGAAGTGGTTTTGTTATTATTAATTCTGGTACTCATGTGGCACCTCCCCGAGTATGGGAGAGGACATGGAAACATTAACATTTAACACTGTGAGGCTTCCAGTTCTGTTCTCCTTTGTTCAGGGATAAAGAAGGAAGAGCAAGGACCCAAGTGCACAAATACTAAACCCCATCTTCCTGTGCTGACCCATTTTGCAGAGCAGGAAGAACTGAAGCACAAATTCTCTGTTTTTTCCACCAAACAGAAACCAACAATTCCAGGGCCACATTCCGCCTCCGCCTCCCAAGCCCATTTCTCTGGTGACAAATTCAACCTCAGACCCTTCACACCTCAGAGGAGAGGAAGGTCCATACCCAGGAAAGCACACCCTGCACTCCTGCAAGCCTCAGCTATTCCTTCTTTGATGGTTTCCATCACTTCAGCATCGAGTTTGCCACAGGCCAAGTGGCTGAGGAAGAAGAGGGGCTCAGCCCCCTGGGCCAGGATGTCATTGACACACATGGCCACCAGGTCCTGCCCGATGGTGTCGTGTCTTTTACAGACCTGGGCAACCTGCAAAACATGGTGGGAAGGAGAAACAGGCCAAACTCAATTATCCATCAGTGAAATCAGCAGAAACCACCTTTTCTCTGAAAGGAAGCACTACAGGACATACGTGGAAGACAGAACCCGGTGCATTACCTGGTTAAAATCAAGAGAAAACAGCTCATTTTCTTGCAGACAGAAAAAAGAAATCTCCATTTTGCTTTTTAAAAAAATATTAATTTGAATTTCAGCCACAGCTCCCTAGAAATTGTCAGTTTGAGATTTTTTTTTTTTTTGTTTGTTTACTTTCTCTACAGGACATACGTGGAAGACAGAACCCGGTGCATTACCTGGTTAAAATCAAGAGAAAACAGCTCATTTTCTTGCAGACAGAAAAAGAAAACTCTTTTTTTTTTTAATAATATTAATTCAAATTTCAGTCCTAGCTACCTAAAAATTGTCATTTCGAGATTTTTTTTTCGTTTGCTTTCTGGAATATTGTCATAGAATCATGGAATGATTTGGATTGGGAGGGACCTATGGCCCATCCAGTGCCAGCCCTGCCATGGCAGGGACAGCGTTTGTTTACTTTCTGGAATATTATCATAGAATCATGGAATTATTTGGGTTGAAAGAGACCTTAAAGCTCATCCAAGTCCCATTTCCTGCCATGGCAGGGACACCTTCCCCGTTTTTGGTAAAGCACAATTCCCTCAGGGAAGTTGCTGTTTGGTTTTAGAAGAACTCCTCGCCGTGTCTGCGTTTCACAAGTAATGAAACCTGGCTCAGGTGTTGTGGCTCCCATGAAATTCTGACATTTCCAGCTCTCAGGGTACCCTGGAGCCTCCTGCTCGACTCACAGGGCTGCCATGGACAAAAACTACACAGGGATCACAGAATTATAAACGCAGAGAAGTATTTAGAGTGCAAAAGGCCTTTAAGATCATCAGTGGATAACCTTTCAAGGAGGTTCCATTCACTGACACAGTTCCACCTGAGCAGAAAATCCCAGGACAGAGGGACGGGTGAGGAGAAAACATGGAATAAACACCACTGGATTCCCAATGGTGATGGAGCAGCAGCCAAACAAAGCCTGGGCTTGGATTCCTGACTGATTTCCCTGGCTGCTGGGTTGAGGAGTGCTGTGGAAACAGGCACCCCATGGCCCTTGGTGCATGACAGCACCTCCCTGCCAGTGCTCCAGGAGCAATCCTGGCAGGCAGCTGCCAACCTTTGCTTGGCCAAGGGAGAGCCTTGGGAACACAGCTGGGGATGTCCCTGTGCCAAGCACTGGAACAAAGGCCCACAGGAGCCTGCAGCAATCACTTTTTCATGCTCAGAGGTGCCTGAGGATGTGAGACTGCCAAATATCTTCAGGATGATTCTGCTCAGTCTCCTGCTGTTTGTTGTCCTGCCATTAAAGGCACAAACCATTTGGAACAAGGGACATCGCTGTGCTTGGCAGTGACAGGAGCTTCAGATCTCCCCTCTCCTGATGGCTGAAAACCTTCTGATTTAACAGAAAAATAAACCCCCAGGTCAGCTTATCCTGATTCAATACATAAATATATCCCTGGTTCAATTTATCCCAATTCTCTACATAAATATATTCCTAACTCAGTTTATCCTATGTGTTTTTGGCTAATTAAAATTCTCTATTTCTCGGCTTCTTTAATGTTTATTTCTTCCATCTTTCCTCAGTGTCCTGGCCTGTTCTCCCTCTCCACACACAATTTATTAGGCTGAGCCTGCCAGTTCTCAATTCTGTGCTCCTCCACACAGATCCTCCTCAAATGGACCTCAAATCCTCCAACAGACCCTCCAATTTAGAGCAGAAATTCGGGGGTTCACTGCCTCAAGTTTCCAGCTAAATTTTGGATTGTTATCTTTTCACCAAAAAATATCCACATCCTCAATTAAGTATGCCCAGGCCTTGCACAAATCACAATTTCCAAAGTGCAGGTGCCCACTGTGGTGGACTCAGGAGTGTTTGTGGAGCTCAGGAGGGTGCAGCTGGTGGGACTGGAACAGCCCTGGCAGGTTGTGGGAGCCCTGGCTACTGAGAATTTCAGATTTTCTGTGCTAACAAACACTGACCCTCAAGAGAACGCTGCATTTGACTTGAAACAGTGGAGAAAACTTCCAAAATTGAATGATAAAACTTAAATTACGGGTGTGTAGTTTAAATAGAATTGTGTAATATCACATGGTAAAAAACTTTTAAGAGTTTAAAGTTTTAGAATATAGTAATATATAAAAAACAAGATAAAAGTTTTAAAGCAGAAGCAAGTTCATCTTTACCTTCTTCTTCACAGGTTTAAGTAGCATTGTGTAATTACACATTACAAGTCATGAGTAGTCAGTTAATAAGTTAAAAGTAAAAACAATTTAAGTGTAATTTCTTAATTAGACAGTAACTTATGGAAAGGGAGATAAAGCTCAATTTTTTACCTTGTTGGTAAAGTACTGTAAAACTCACAACTTGTAAGACTGTAACATAAATAAAAACTAATAAACATCTAAGTCCAAGATACAAGAAATACAAACATGAAAAGAAACAACATAAAGACATCGAAGTCAGTAAAGAAAAAAGTCAAATCCCAAATAGGGGGGATGAGGAATTGCCTTAATCTTAAGGCTGAAATCCTCTTGCAAAATTATAGAGAAAAACTCTTTTTCCCTACATGAAAGTATGGAGAGATGAAAGTGTTCAAATTGATATCAAACAAAAGCCTCCATACCAGAATTAACAGGTAGTAAAACAAACACTGACCCTCAAGAGAACGCTGCATTTGACTTGAAACAGTGGAGAAAACTTCCAAAATTGAATGATAAAACTTAAATTACGGGTGTGTAGTTTAAATAGAATTGTGTAATATCACATGGTAAAAAACTTTTAAGAGTTTAAAGTTTTAGAATATAGTAATATATAAAAAACAAGATAAAAGTTTTAAAGCAGAAGCAAGTTCATCTTTACCTTCTTCTTCACAGGTTTAAGTAGCATTGTGTAATTACACATTACAAGTCATGAGTAGTCAGTTAATAAGTTAAAAGTAAAAACAATTTAAGTGTAATTTCTTAATTAGACAGTAACTTATGGAAAGGGAGATAAAGCTCAATTTTTTACCTTGTTGGTAAAGTACTGTAAAACTCACAACTTGTAAGACTGTAACATAAATAAAAACTAATAAACATCTAAGTCCAAGATACAAGAAATACAAACATGAAAAGAAACAACATAAAGACATCAAAGTCAGTAAAGAAAAAAGTCAAATCCCACACAGGGGGGATGAGGAATTGCCTTAATCTTAAGGCTGAAATCCTCTTGCAAAATTATAGAGAAAAACTCTTTTTCCCTACATGAAAGTATGGAGAGATGAAAGTGTTCAAATTGATATCAAACAAAAGCCTCCATACCAGAATTAACAGGTAGTAAAGTAGTTGTAATCTATAAGAATTTTAAACAGAGAAAGAGAGAAAAATGATAAGACCCTATAGCCTCAAAGGGAAAAGAAGACTTCTATTCCCAGAGATAAAGATGATTTTAGAAATAAATAATAAAAAAATTAAAAAAGTCATAAAAATCAACAGCAGGTTATTACTATTATTTTATTTATTTATTTATTTCCAATATGTTCCTCTCCATTCTGCACCTCTAATAAGCACAATCCCTCCATGGCAAGGCAGGCATTTGTTAATTAATCATCAGAGTGACAAGAAAGAAATTGATTTTCTTTCTTTGTGCTGATCCCAGCCCAATTTCCCAAGCTCAAATTCAATGCCATGAGTGCACTGCCCAACCCCCAGGGAGAAAAAACCCAATATACTGAGGGAATTCTCAGATTCTTCCCAGTCCTACCTGCCCTGGTGCCTCTCACAGCTGATGTTTGTGGCAGACAGCTCAAAGCCTCCCTGGCTCCAGCTCCCACGTGTCTGTCCTTGTACATCAGGGCCCTGTGGGGAGGGAAGGACGAGCTGGCAGCAGCAGTGACCTTTCTGCAGGGCCAGCAGAGGTGGCCCAGATGTGAGGGCAGGAGGAACATCTGGGCTGCGCTCACGTACAGGGGCTGGCGCAGCAGCCGCAGGCCCCGGTGCCCGATGTCCCTCCTGAAGGTGGCCCCCTGGAAGTGGATGGTGGCCACACCCCTGTTGGCTTCTCCCAGGGCTTCCATCAGGTCCTGCCGGACAGCAGTGACAGACAGGACTCTGCCACCACTGGTCACCACCCTGCCGTCCTTCAGCGCTGTGCCCCCGTGGAACACCTGCAGCCCCAGCTCCTCGGCCTGCACAAGCCCTGCAAAGACAAATTTGGGGATTCTCTGAGGGTTGTGAATTGCATTCTCTGGAGACAATCTCAGAATCAAGGTGGGAAGAGCCCTTAAGGATCACCCAGTGCCACCTCAGCCCCAGCAGCATCACCCCAAAGCCTGTCCCCAAGGCCACATCCAGACTCCTCTGGGACAATCCCAGTGACTCCAAACCTCCCTGGGCAGCTCAGCCCAAGGCCTGACCACTCTGCCAGGGAAATTTTCTTTCCCAGTCTCCAACCTGAGCCTCCCCTGGTGCCATTTGAGGCCATTTCCTCTCCTCCTTTCCCTGCCCCTCCTGGCAGGAGCTGTGCAGAGCAGTGAGGTCCCCCCTGAGCCTCCTTTTCTCCAGCCTGAGTCGCTTCCCAGCTCCCTCAGCTGCTTCTCCCAGGGTGTGTTTTCCAGACCTTTCCCCAGATCCATTACCTTCTGTGGGCAAAACACTGAAGTCCTTTATTCAGTCAAGGGAGAACAACAGAAATTTTCACCTTTCCTTTTTTCTGAGAAACAGCATCATCAGTGAAAGGCATCCCACTGCACTGGCTCCAGGAATCCCCTTCTGAGCCAGTAAAGCATCGTGGAATTCCAGACTGGTTTGGGTGGGAAGGGACCTCAAAGCCCACCCAGTGCCACCCCTGCCATGGCAGGGACACCTTCCCCTGTGCCAGGCTGCTCCAGCCCCAGTGTCCAGCCTGGCCTTGGGCACTGCCAGGGATCCAGGGGCAGCCCCAGCTGCTCTGGGAATTCCATCCCAGCCCCTCATTTCCATCACAAGGAACAATTCCTTCTTAATATTCAATATAGGCCATCCTCCTATCAGTTGAAGCCATTCCCTGTGTGCTGTCCCTGCATCCCCTGGAAATTGTCTCTCTCCAGGTTTCCTGGGGCTCCTTCAGGCCCTGCAAGGCCACCCTGAGCTCAGCCCAAAGCTTCTCCTGTGCAGCTGAACAATCCCAGCTGTGCCAGCCTTTCCTGCCAGCAGAGCTGCTCCATCCCTCTGCTCATCCTGGAGCCTCCTCTGGGCTCTCTCCTACGTGTCCACTTCTGGTGCACCCCAAAAGTAAAGAAAGAAATCCCACAGGAGCAGAAATGTGGGATCCAGGAGCCCCCACAGGACACATCCCTGCCCTGTGCCAGGAAAGCTGTGCTCTCTCTCTGGGAGCTGTGGATAATTTGTGCAGGGTTTTCCTGCAGGAAATCTCAACCCACAGCCCTTTCCTGCCTGGATTCTCCCCTGTCCCTGCCATCACACCATCAGTGCTGATGTTACCTCTGCTCTCCCACCATTCCATCCTGCCCACTCCACGCAGTTCCCTGCTACACCTGGACCTGGTGCTCCAGCAACACTCACAGGGGGCTGCTCTGACACTGGGAGGCAAAACTGTGCGAGCTTTGGGGTTTTTCAGATTCCTGTCTTGAGGGAAGATAAAGGAACAGGAGGAACTGCTGCCATCACCTGGGGAAACGAGAACCAAGCACGGTTTTCTCCTTGCTACGGGCTCAAGGGATTCCTCCCCCTGGCCCTGCAGCATTCCAGCCCCTTTGCATCCTCTTTTAAGGAATGCTCCAGAACAGAAACTTTGTCAAGCCATTAAAATCAGAGAATCACAGAATATCCTGAGCTGGAAGGACACACGGGGATCAGCCATTCTCACCCCTGGCCCTGCACAGGACACCCCAATAATCCCATCCTGGAAGCATGATCCAAAAAGATGTGATTCAGTGTGAAAAAGAAAATAAAAACTAAGAAACCCCATGAAACTCTGAAGTGGAAGATAATAACGGAATAATAACGTAATAATTACATAAATAACAATAATGACATTATTAGAACAAAGGGAATAAGAGAATTATTATAAAATAATATATATATAAAATACAAAATAAAAGAATAAAAAATTTAAAAAAAATTTAAAATAATAAAAAATATTTAATTCCATTGGTTTGACTGTGTTTTTTGGAATTAACAAGCAGGGAGTCAGAAACCCTGCCAGGGACAAGGCACCAGAGCACAACCTTGTCTCTGGGGAATGGAGAAATGGAGAATCTCTCTTTTCTCCCGAGAGAAAATGCCAAAAATTTCTGCCAAAATTTGGGAGCCCTGGCCAGGAGCTGAGGTGCTGGGCTGACCCCAGCAGAGGGTGGGACTGGCAGGGCAGCAGCTGAGCAGGCAGGAAATGATTCTGCAACAGTTCCTGGTTTTAAACACTGCAAACATCCTCACCAGATCCTGAACCTGGAGTACTGGAACAGAGGACATGGATATGGATACCTGCATGAATCCTGAATCACTGTATCCTGTATCCAAATAGTATTGATATCTAAATGGATATTGAATACCTGCATGAATCCTGGATATCTATGTCCTGTATCCAAATAGTATTGATATCTAAATGGATATTGAATACCTGCATGAATCCTGGATATCTATGTCCTGTATCTAAACAGTATTGATATGTAAATGAATATTTAATACCTGCATGAATCCTGGATATCTATATCCAATATCTAAATGAATATTGAATACCTACATGAATCCTGAATATCTATATCCAATATCTAAATGAATATTGAATACCTACATGAATCCTGAATATCTATATCCAATATCTAAATGAATATTGAATACATACATGAATCCTGAATATCTATATCCAATATCTAAATGAATACTGAATACCTGTATGAATCCTGAATATCTATATCCAATATCCAAATGGATATTGATATCCAAATGAATATTGAATACCTACATGAATCCTGAATATCTATATCCAATATCCAAATGGATATTGAATACCTGTATGAAACTTGAATATCTATATCTATTATCCAAATGGATATTGATATCTAAGTGAATATTGAATACCTGTATGCATCCTGAATATCTCTGTTGAATATCTATATGGATATGGAATATCTATTTCTAATATCTGTATGAAGGTTGAATAGCAATATCAAATATCCATATGAATATTGAGTATCTATGTCTAACATATATGTAGATATTGGATACCTAGGCAAATACTGAACATCTATATCAAATATCTATATTAATATTGAATATCTACATGGATATTGAATATATATATCAAATATACTTATAAATATTAAATACTTGTATCTAATATCTATATGAATATTGAATATCTATATCTAATATCCAAATGAATATTGAACATCTATATCTAATATATGTCTATAAAATATATATTATAATATCTATATGAATATTGAATACCTGTCTCTAATATCTAATATTGAATACCTACACGAATTCAGAATATCCCAATGCTCACCTTACCCAGAGCCCTGTGAGGAAGCAATTAAATAATTAAGAAGCTCCCAGAGTTACCTGTCACCTCCAAGCCTTTGTCAGAGTCTCCTGGGTACCCTGGGCTGGCCATGACCACACACACAGCAGTTCTGTTCTCCAGCCAGGCTGGCATGCAGCTGCACAGTTTGCCATCAATTGTTGCTTGAATCACTTCATAAAAATCATTTTTAAGCAGAGGGAGAATTACCTGTAAAAAAGTTTTCAGAGTGATGGAAGTTTTATTTTGCTGGTTTGTTGAAATTCACCTTAGGGAAAAGTCAATTGATGGAACACAATCTGTATGTGCCAAGCCAGTAGAGTTGGAAACTCTGGGTTTTAATTTAATTTGCAGCATCTTTTGGCACCAGTCATAAATTTAGAAGTGTAAGGTGTGAGCTTATTTTAAAAGAACAAGAATTTAGGCCTCTCCCATTCTGCTTCTATCCAGAAAAACAAAATCTGAGGAACAGATTTTTTTTAACTAATAATTCACAGGAGCTGACGAGCCAAAATGTTACCTCAGACATTGTCTAAGATGTTCACATCCAGATCTTTCCCTAGAAATAAACTACAACAGTAAGAGGTAAAAGAATGGAGCATCTCTAATTTTCCAGTGTGTTCCACTCACCTGACACTGGGGATCCCCAAACTGGCATTTAAAGTTTAAAACCTTCACCCCCTCCTTGGTCAGCATCAAACCTGTTTGCAGCACACCTGGACACAAAGCCAAGCAAATGAAATTAAACATTAATTTATTTATTTCTTTCTTTCAAGAATGCCTTTAAAAGAAACAGAGCATTTCGGAGCATTCTGCAAATCAGAAGGCCTTAGGAGCAAGAACCCTGCAAGCCATAATAATTCCCAAATATCCATAAAAGTGACAAGCAGCCACCTGAGGAGCAGGGCACCAACATTTTTAACCCCACAAAGCAAAGGTTCTCTGGCATCGTGCACCCAACTCCATTCTTACTCAACTCCCACTCCACTCTTACTCAGGCATTGTAAAAAAGGCCCCAAAAAGCAGGATTTGAAGATGTGGGTGGGAGCCCAACTCTTTAGAGGACTGAGATCTCCTCAGTGCCAACAGCAGCCCTTGGCATTAAGTGGCACCTGTGGGCACCACCTGCCTTTTCCAAAACAGCCTCTGGATAAAGATCTGGAGAAAATGGCCATTGTTGTATGTAGGAGCAGTGCTGCAGGACTGAAGTATATGTTCTGCCCTGAACTGCAAATAAATCTGTTTTGTTTAAAAATGTTTAATAAAATCATGGTGTTTTAAGGAAACAAGGCCAAGGTTATCTCCCAGACAAAGAGCTGTGAACCAAATGAGTGAGGCTTAACACTGCATGAAAAATGAGCTGCTGCTGGGTTATTTTTTTGAAACAAATACCATCTGGAACTCAGAAGCAGCCTCTGACCGTGGAAGTGACCTGGAGAGGAGCTCACCTTGGTTTTCAGGTGCTCACTCACCTACGTAGGCTGCTCCTTCTTGTCTCAAGCTGTCCACGAGGTGCTGGAGGATTGCACCCCTGATTTGCTCTAGAAGAGCCTCTGGAACCTGAGAACCAAACGAAAGGCACGGGGCAGTGGTGGCACCTGCTGCCTTGCTGGAAGGACTGGGCAGGGCTGAGGAGCTGCCTGGGGTGTTTGCTGCTGTCCCCCCAAGCCCTGCTCCTTCCCTTGGGGTGCTCTGCCTGCCGAGGGGGTTTGGGTGCTTCTCAGGGAGGGCTGGGACTGGAACCTGGGCTGAACACAGTCAGAGTGTTTGTCCTCAGAGAAACACCCTCTGAAAATGTGGGGGAGCAGTGCTTTAGGACCAACAAGGACCCCCAGGTTAATGTTCAGCGCACAAAGGTCCCAGGCACACAGGGAATTCTACAGGGATTCCTGATGCTGATGGGAGCAGAGAAACACAAAGCTTAGGAATAACAGGAGAGGTAAAAGAGAGGCTGCTCCAGAGAACGAAACCCCAAAGGATGACTGCTGGGTGAGAGCCCTGGAGCAGCAGAAGGCCTGCAGGGCTGTGCAGGGCAGAGCTGGGCAGTGTAGCCATGATATTATGAAAAATCCTCTGCTGGGATTTTTCCTCTCCTGAGAAGCTGAGGAGCTTCAGGAGAGAAATGTAAACAATTACTATCTGCTGCTGTGGAATGCAACAGATGAATCCATGATTGGTCCATGTGGATTGTTTTCCATTGATGACCAACCACAGCCACCTGTGCCAAGGCTGTGAGCAGTCACAGAATTTTCTTGTTCTGTTCTTGTTGTAGCCTTCTGATCTCTCTGTTCTTTAGTATAGTCTTAATGTAGCATTTTAATATAATATTTAACATAATAAATCAGCCTTCTGAAATGGAGTCAAGCCTCGTGTCTCCACACCCGGGGAGTTCGCCTCAGCAGGGCGGCAGCGGCGGCTGTACCTGGGGCACGGGGCAACAGGCGCCCATCCCCGCCGTGGTGGGACCCCGCTCCCCGTCCAGCAGCCGCTTGTGGGGCTGAGCCGGGGGCATGGAGGCCACGGTGACACCGTCGGTGAAGCAGGAGCACTGCAGGGAGAGACAGGGACAGCGGTGACAAGGGACACAGCGGGACAGCGCTGCTGGGCGCAGTTCTGCTGGAAAATGGAGAAATTGCAGAATTTCTGCAGAAAAGACCAGAATGCAAAGGATATTAAATCTCATTCAGTGCTATGGCAGGGACACCTTCCCCTGTGCCAGGCTGCTCCAGCCCCAGTGTCCAGCCTGGCCTTGGGCACTGCCAGGGATCCAGGGGCAGCCCCAGCTGCTCTGGGAATTCCATCCCAGCCCCTGCCCACCCTGCCAGGGAACAATTCCTCATTGCCCAGATCCCATCCAGCCCTGCCCTCTGGCACTGGCAGCCATTCCCTGGGTGCTGTCCCTGCATCCCCTGGAAATTGTCTCTCTCCAGGTTTCCTGGGGCTCCTTCAGGCCCTGCAAGGCCACCCTGAGCTCAGCCCAAAGCTTCTCCTGTGCAGCTGAACAATCCCAGCTGTGCCAGCCTTTCCTGCCAGCAGAGCTGCCCACCCTCTGAGTGAAGAATTTCTCAGAAACTATTTAGATCAAATAGGATCCACTTATTCTGCTACAAGCCCATTGACCTGAAGGATTAATTGTTTCCTTCTCATGTTTAAATTGGCAAGAGAAATGGTGGCTCTCATTGCAATTCCCTTTTGCTGAATCAGATTTTGAGTCACGTGGACCATGCCTGTCCTCTGGCATGTGAATAGCCTAAAGGAGGCACTAAATATTAACACAAAGTTACAGATGTAACATGAGTTACCAAGGTAAAGTCCATAAAAACGTAGTTTGGGTCACTTTAGGGGAAAAAAAATTCCCCCTAAAATAACCACCTTGTGAACAGCAAATGAAAGGTTTTTTGAAGGGCTGAATTTCCTGTTTCCTGAAAGAGCACCTCACTCTCCTTTCCACACTGTGATTTCTGTTGGGTTAAACCTCAGCCCAGTTGATACCACCCAGGCTCCCACCCCTTCTCCCCATCTCCCTGTGCACACCTGGGACAGTTTTCCCTTTGGAGCCCTGCACATGCTGACGGAGGTGTTGGCCTTGGCTCCGTGTGGCAGCAACATAAACTGGGTGTTCTTATCCAGGTTTCCTGGGGCTCCTTCAGGCCCTGCAAGGCCACCCTGAGCTCAGCCCAAAGCTTCTCCTGTGCAGCTGAACAATCCCAGCTGTGCCAGCCTTTCCTGCCAGCAGAGCTGCCCACCCTCTGAGTGAAGAATTTCTCAGAATCTATTTAGATCAAATAGGATCCACTTATTCTGCTACAAGCCCATTGACCTGAAGGATTAATTGTTTCCTTCTCATGTTTAAATTGGCAAGAGAAATGGTGGCTCTCATTGCAATTCCCTTTTGATGAATCAGATTTTGAGTCACGTGGACCATGCCTGTCCTCTGGCATGTGAATAGCCTAAAGGAGGCACTAAATATTAACACAAAGTTACAGATGTAACATGAATTATCAAGGTAAAGTCCATAAAAACGTAGTTTGGGTCACTTTAGGGGAAAAAAAAAATTCCCCCTAAAATAACCACTATAAATGCAACATCATTGTTAATGCAGAAGAAAAATCTACTGACAACATGCATTGGTTAGCATGGCACAGGGCTTAGATTGCATGTTATATATATGCAATAGATATACATTTCTCAGAGTGCAAATAAAACAAAACAAAAATTGACACTTGAAAGAATAAACTTGGGTGTTTATACAGAAGCACAGCAAGAATGCCAAAGAGTGAAAGCACAACATCACACCATCAATACCTACAGAAAGTTCTTCCCCTTGAAGCAGTTCTTCAATAACAACCATCTCTCCAAACATTCTGTCCTGTAAAAGACAGAACAAAACAAAAGAAATCCCCAGTGAGCAGATATGAATCCACTGCCTAAATCCTCTCTTCATTTTCTTTTAACAGAAAGACCCAATGTGTATGAGAAGTGCCAGCTTGCTTGAGTGCCAGTGGGGAAAGCCAATGGAATTCCATTTGGACATAAGGAGGCAACACTGAAATATTCCCTATCAGGCCTGGGAGACAAGGAAAAATTACAGTTTGGAGGGGCAGAGAAGTGGGACCTGAGATGGAACAGAAGTTCAGTCACAAAAGCTTCCAGCCCTGGCTGGGGGACACAGGAGGAATCTGAGGAGACCCAGGGAAACCCTTGAGCCGAATGAACAATTTCTCCCAAAAATACTTGTCCCCTGTAGCAGGAATTACAAACTCCCAGAGTACAGAGCACCAAGATTTGGACTGACAGGGATTAATTAAGGATTTTTCCACCTGCATGATCTCCTGGACAGCTCTGCAGGCCTCCTCCTTGCTGGCTGCAATGGTCACCTCCTTCCTGGCCGCTGGTCCCCGCGCCCGCACCACCCGTGCAGGGAAGTCTGTGCTTTAAGGGAAGCAGAGAGGGGGTCAGACATCCCTGCTGCATCCAGGGAGATCTCCACTCTGCTCCTGGATGCTCCCCAGTGGTACACTCCCACTGTACCTCCAGAATTTCCCCACTTACTCTGAAACACAAGGTAAATCCAGAAGTTAAAAAGGAACAAAGCATCACCCTGGCAATGGATGGATTTTAATTTCACCCAGTCACCTTCTGGTTTGTGAACAGCAAATAAAAGGTTTTTTTGAAGGGCTGAATTTCCTATTTCCTGAAAGAACACCTCACTCTCCTTTCCACACTGTGATTTCTGTTGGGTTAAACCTCAGCCCAGTTGATACCACCCAGGCTCCCACCCCTTCTCCCCATCTCCCTGTGCACACCTGGGACAGTTTTCCCTTTGGAGCCCTGCACATGCTGACGGAGGTGTTGGCCTTGGCTCCGTGTGGCAGCAACATAAACTGGGTGTTCTTACAGAGCAAAACCAGTGAAAAGGTTGGTTTCACTCCCAACTTTTAATAGAAAGTTTTTTTACTAAAAAACCCCACAGGGTCCACAGGTTTATCCCACATGGAGCACTTGCCAGCAAGGACAAGGAGTCTGGGAACAGAACCCACAAGCAAAGAAATGGGACTGGTCTCCTTTAGTTATGGATATTTGACCAGAACCTTCCAAATCATCCTCAGAGAGCATTTTCCTGGCATTTGTCTGGGTAGAAATGATTCTCAGCCCTTAACTAACTGAAAGATTAGTTGAAATATTTTCTTTATTACAACTTTGTGTCTTATAGATGGCTTATTGAGCATCCTGAAGGAGCAGATGGAAAAGAAGAAGAGCTGGGAATTCAGAACAGAAAAATCAACCTGCTGGAGTTCACAAAATCACAGAAGGGTCTGGGTTGGAAGGACCTTAAAGATCATCCAGTGCCACCCTGTCAGGGCAGGGACACCTTCCCCTGTCCCAGGCTGCTCCAGCCTGGCCTTGGGCACTGCCAGGGATCCAGGGGCAGCCCCAGCTGCTCTGGGAATTCCATCCCAGCCCCTGCCCACCCTGCCAGGGAACAATTCCTCATTGCCCAGATCCCATCCAGCCCTGCCCTCTGGCACTGGCAGCCATTCCCTGGCTCCTGTCCCTCCATCCCTTGTCCCCAGTCCCTCTGCAGCTCTCCTGGAGCCCCTTCAGGCCCTGCCAGGGGCTCTGAGCTCTCCCTGGAGCTTCTCCTCTCCAGGTGAGCACCCCAGCTCTCCCAGCCTGGCTCCAGCAGTTCCACACCCGCACCTTCATCAGCTGTCTGTAATTACAGAGCTGATTAATCCAGCAGGAGCTGAGGGTTCCCCAAGCCCCGAGTGACAGGAGCCCCGGTGGGGCTGTACCTGGTGATGAACCTGCAGGCCTCCTGGGCGGTGCTGAAGGCTCTCCAGCGTGCCGTGGGGAGCCCGTGGCGCTCCAGGAAGGCTTTGCTGGAGCTGCTGTTGGAGGCCAGCTGGGCTGCCCTGGCCCAGGGCCCGAAGCACCGAACTCCTGCTGCCCTCAGGTCATCCACGATGCCTGAGCCACAGAAACAGCACAAGCACCAAGGGGGCTCTTTGGAGCCCTGTGACAAAAGGAGATCCCATCCACCATCCCTTTGTTACACCTCCCTTGGTCTCAGGTAATTAATTCACCCTCCAAGTGAGCTTCTGAATGTCCACTGGCCCTTCTCAGCCTGTGGTTTTAAGGCTCTTTAGCTCTGTACTGAGCACTCCCACAGTTACCTCCCCCATTTAAAAGCAGATTTCAAGGTGCTGCTTTTTTCATTACATTATATTAATTATATTATATTAATTATATTATATCTGTCTGTATTACATTACATTGTGTTGTACTGTGTTATATTGCATTGTGTTATATTGTATTATATTGCACTGCGTTATATTATATTGTACTGTTATATTGTGTTAATTATACTGTATAGTGTTATACCATATTATTATAATATTATTATTGTACCATTTATATATTTTTTTTCTGTCAACTTAGGTTTATTTAATTATTTTAGTAACTTACCAGCTGCCAGAAGAGCTTCTGGGCCGACTACCACAAGCCCAATGTTGTGATCTTTGCAGAACTGGGTGACAATAGTGTGATTGCTCACTAATACAGCTGAAAAGGAAAAATAATTAGCTGGTGACTGTAAGGCCTAAATAAGAGACAGGAGATGAGAATGTCTTTTTTCCATCCTCCTAAAAGTGTGATTAAAATCATGAAGCAGCCCACTAAGTGCAAAGTGGAATATCAATTTAATAATAGCAGAGCTCAAAAGGAGCTGGGAACAACTCCTTTTTGCACTGCTGTTTTTAATACACATTTTCTAAGTGATTAAATCTCCTTTATTTGCCATGTGTAATCAAGATATATTTTAAAAAGCTTATCACAACAATAACAACTTTGAAAAATAAAACTTAAGGTTGGGAAAGAAACTCAATTTCAACAGCTGCGTCAAGATTTACTCAAAAGCATTGGATGATGCAGCTAAATTTCACTGGGCAGCCTGGGCAGGCACAGAGATGTTTCTATTCAGAATTAAGAACTTTGAACCCTCTGCTTCTGGGTTAAGTTTCACTAGGTTGGTCACAGAATTCAAGTACAAAAGTAGAAGAGATGAGGTGCAGAAATGCAGTCTCATATAAGCCTCACTAGCTTAAGCAGTAAGGCTAAAACAAACAGAGCAGGGTGTTTCAGGACTCAGCTCTGAAATTCAGAAACAAAGCAGAAATCTGTGCCTTCAATCATTTGTAAAAGAGCAACTGGCACCTGCCTGTGGGATTCACATCCTCTGAACCTGAGAGAAGCAGAGAAAAGAATGGTTTTGATAATTCTTATCTCATTTGCTGCGCCTGTGTTGTGCCAAAGTGGAATGCATTGTGGGAGATTGTTTACCTGAAGGGAATTGGTAGTTGGATTCTGGTGTGAGTGTTTGATTGCTTTGATTCATTGGCCAGTTGAATCCAGGTGTGTGAGTTGGGACTGTCAGCAGCCACGAGATTCTGTGCAGCTGAGTGAGTTGGGTGCTTGGGCAGATTCAGTTTAGATGAAATAGAGTATAATAAAGTAATTAATTAGCCTTCTGATAAGAAGGAGTCTGATGCATCATTTTCTCCCCCTCATCGGGGTTGCCCTGCATTCGCCATACCTGCCCAGTTGGTTTGTCCCAGTTGTTATGAATAAAAAGTTATCTATTTTTGTTTAAGGTTACAGAGCTAAAACCGGTTAGACCAATTGCTGTTAAATTAGCTTCATTGTTAAGAGTTCTTCTTTAATTGCCCGTCAATGGTTGGTGATTTATTATCATTGTCCTCCTGATGCTTGCCTGGGAGCAACACCTGGACATGGCAGCACCAGGAAAATAGGAGTGGCCTGAGACCACGTATGCAGATGAGAAATGCACTGCTCCAAATTTTCCCGTTTTCCAGGAAAACCCCTAAAAACAACGAGCCAATATGGAATTACGGGACCCTAGGTGACGTCTAAGGACGGGCGCGCAGTCCAGTACCTGCTCGGATCCTTTTTGCTTCTCACCCTGACCTCAAAGGATGTTCACTAAGGAGGGGACCCGAAGTGTTGGACCGGAAAATTAGGAATCTGCCAATCTCCCGTGAGGACGCAGTCCCCAGCTCTGCCTGCAGACCAGCGGACAGAGCTGCATCACCATCATCATCATCATCATCATCCTCCTCCTCCTCCTCCTCCGTGCCACTCCTGGGGACAGCGGCGGCGTGGGCGCGACCCGTCGACTTCTCCCCACCTGAGCTGAATATCTTTAATAAAGGCATTAAAAAGGAGAAAGATCTCCTGCCCATTTATTTCACCAGTTGCTGCAGTGCTGATTGCTTGGACTAGGATTTTTCTCCCCGCTTTTTACCTGAATTGGAGATTTTCCCGTTGCCAGCCGTGCCTGCGTTTCCCGGAGCCACAAACACGTGTTTGACATGGGGGGACTGTGCCAGCTTCCAGGCCAGGGCGTGCTCCCTGCCCCCGCTGCCGACGACCAGCACCCGCTCAGCCATGGCCGTGCAGGGCACAGCTGTGGAGATTCTCAGTCAAAGAGAGAAGAGACAGCTTCTCCCAGGCTGAGCCTGGCAATCTTAGAGGAAAGAATTCAGACAATTATCATCTCTCTTTGTGTAACCATTGTTTATGGTTACGGTTCTCCACAGTGTGCTGTTGACAGTCACCAACAGTGTGAGATGTTTCTACCTTGAGACCAACCAAGCATCACCTCAGAGTGTCACATTATGAAAGACCAGCTGCTTTCATTAAGCAGAGCCTTCTGACCCACCTGAAGACTGCAGTCTGTCTGTCCATCCCTGACTCAACAGCAGCACCACTGCCTCAGCCCTCAGCACAGGGATTGCATCCCACTGCCACAGCTTTTGGGTGACATTCACCCAGTTTGTGGCACAGAGGGGCTGTGGGACACGATGGCTGTGCCAGCAGTGCCGCTGCATGGACACAGCAGTCAGGTCTGCTTGAAATACGGACAACAAATGCACTGGGAATTGTCCCCACCTCTTCCAGCAGAGCAGGATTTCATCTCTTAAGCAGCCACAGATAGGAAATAATCGTGCTCTGAGTAGGTGTCATCAGGTCCTTGGCACAACTGCACGGGACAGGACTAAAAGTGTCATAAAAATGCTCTAAAAATGTATTTTAGTATATTTTTATATATGTTTTATATATGTTTTATTAGAATATGTTTATAATAGACATATATAATACATTATAATATAATAAAATATGTAATATATTTTATTATGATGTGTCTATAATATATGTTTATAAGTATATTTTATATATACATATATATGTATATGTACACATATTTATTTATGTTTATACATATATTTTACATGTTGTATATGTATTTATTTCTAAACAAAAATAAATCTGTATCTAATAAACAAATTAAAATAAAATATATAAGAGAACTAAGCAATGAATATCTATATAATGAAAAACTATATAATAAATAGATTTGCAAAAATAAAAATGTAATTGTTCACCTCCTTTTCATATTTAATAAACATATTTCAGTCTGAATGCCGTGATTGGTCTAGAAGCTTTTAAGAGTGCAAACATGCTCAGCTGTAAATGGCAAAGGCAGATTTCAGGACAGATTTTATCCATGGGCAATTGCTTGGAGGACACTTCAGCAGAGCAGCACATTCAATAAAAGACAACTGTTCATCTCACTGGCACACTGACATTTTGAGCAGCTCCTCAGCAATATTTCGTGGCAGATTAGTTTGGGTTTATTTCAGAAATGTTATCATAGGTCACATCTGCAAACTTAATTTCTCCCTGTGTGCTGCGTGTGGACAAATGTCAGAGAGAAGAATGCACCTCAGAACGTGACCTTTAAGGGGGTGCTAATGGAGAAAGCAGTCCTTAGCCAGGAGAGGGATCATAAAATAAAGGTACCACAGACAGCAAGTGCTGCTGCCTTCTCCCAAGGAATCACAGCCCCTGGGTTTAATTCATTGTGCAGCTTCCAAAGGCAAACGGGAGCTAAATGGTGACACTGAGCAAGAATATTCCAGGCAAGATACTCATGGAGCTCTGACGCACCAAGAATTGTTCTTGGAACTCCTGAGATAGGATTACACTGCCTTAGCTCACTGCAAAATCCAATTTAACTCTCTGTATTTCATCATTCTTGAATTGCCCAAGTACAAAGTCAGGAATTCTCAGAGCCCAGCCCTTGAAACTGGTGAGTTTTGGGGTTATTTGCTTTTAAATGTCAGCTGATGTGCTCTGGGTGTACAAACACAGAGCACATGCTTCATTCTCTACCAGGGAGAGACTGATTTCCTTGCAAAAGACTTTTCTTAGCCTTTTTGTTGGGTAACAATCCAGAGTGTGAGGCTTGGCCCTTCCTTTTGTCACTGCCTGAGAAATAATTGCTGGAAGTGGCTGTGAATGTGAAGATGAGTTACAACAGCTCTGTCTCTAACAAGGGCACCAACATTCTCTGCCAGGCTCCAGAATGGCACAACATTAGAAATGAAAATTAAAGTGGTTTTAAAAGCAGTTCCACCCTCCACAACCCCTGCCCTGCCAATAATCTCACAATTCTGTGAAGTTTCTAAAGCAGAATGAATTAAAGTTCCAAACTGGGAAGAGAGTGAAAGCAATCAGTGCCTCCCATCCTTTGGGAAAGATTTACTTTTCCATTCCACACCCCAGTGAGCACACTAAGGATGTTTTTTGCAAAGCCAAGGAAAAGCATGCTGGAAGAGAGGAAATTTGGTGAGTGAGTTGGTCCAGGAGGAAAGGCTGGAGAGAGGGACAGAGCTGCTGGAGGAAAAGAGAGCTGCAAGGACTCCTGGTGCTGAGAGTAGGGCTGTGGAGAGGGACATCTCTGTGGAATTATTTTCCCTTACCGTGGCAGACCCTGCTGTTGGCCCACACAAAAGGAGTCCTCCAGAAGGATCTTCCTGCAGTTGCTGCTTCAGCTCCAAATGATTTCTGATCTCCTGAAGCCAAGGATAGAGGTGGAAAGGCAGGCAGACCTGCAGCGGCCCTGTCCCCCTTGATCCTCCACCCTCATGGGAGGATCCCCAGCAGCATCCCCTCGGTGCCTCCCACCCTTCAAGCCCTCCCCACACCCTCAGCACCGTGGAACCTCCTCTCTCTCTCCATCTTCCTTGGTTAAGGTCACAACCAGCTCCTCCCACCAGCCTGTCTGACCATGGAAATAGAGAAAAAAACCCAGCTACAATGTGTCACACAGCTGAGCTCAGCACTCAGACCCCATGCAAGAAGAATTTTATATCCCCTGCCAGGGCAAGGATCTCAGACAAGCAGACAAAAAACTATGCTATAAAAAACAATTTTATCACTTTTTGTTCTTCTCTTTTTGAAATTTAAATTTGTTTCCTGTGATCTTTATTGTGGAAACACTGAAGCAAACCTGAG